CGCCTGCCATTTGAAATAATAATGTTAGCAAGTCACTTCACCGCGGGCACCATATATCCCCAACTTTACAACTTGAGAAAATCCTATTAAAACAAAAATGGGATGAGCAACGAGCTTTGTTATTTCCTATTTGTACTTTTGAGGCGTTGAATAGCACAAATAGGTATTTACTCTAGTTTTAAGTAGTACCATTTTCTATTTGATGGTGCGATTTATTCCTCTCAGGTGCCATAACCTCACAAAGAAAAGTCTGTAACAAGGCTTCTTATCCAGTTTTTTACTGCAAATCATGATTCTCTCTCTAATGAATTCCATCAAATCCGAAAAAGCGACAACACGAAGTATCGATGACCAAGTGGTGCAGAGGTTCCTCAGATAAAGAGAACAGCTGTACATACGGCAAAGTATTATTTATGTCAAATGCTTTGACTTCATTGCCAGCTTGAAAGAGCTTATTATACCACTCCAATATTCTAGCCCATTTTGAGGGGAAAGCGGCTAAATAAAAAAAAATAAAAGGCATATTTTCAGGGGCTTTGGAGAAGTAATTGGTACCATGAATTTGGAAATTGCTATTTCAAAAATTGTTGATGTCGAAGTATCTGAATCTGTGCTTATGATATTTAAATTTTTATTGAAATTTCTCAAACATTATTAAAGATACTTTTAAATATTATACAAACCAAATATTTATATATATTAAATATGGGGTGTGCGATAGACTTACCTCCACGTGGTGCACCCTGGGCAACGTGTACTCATACGGCAAAACAAGTCTGTAACCCGGCAGTTGACTTCTGACTTCAAACTACCCCTACTGTATACCATATTCAATCCATTTCACAGTACTCATCTTACCTTTTCTCTGCTCTTTTGTCAGTCTCTGTCACATCTGTGAATCATTATTCTGTCACCCCTCTCGACTTTTTGTCACTTTGATGTTCCTCCTCCTCTCTGTGAAGCCTGAAGTCAACTAAAGGGCTAATGATAACTATCAAAACGTCTGCCATTTGAAATGAATAAATATTTATATATATCAAATAGCAGGCCTGATGATAATTTTCATTAGCCCTTTAGTTGATTTAGGGTTTCACAGGGGGGGGGGAGAATATCAAAGTCACAAAATGTCGAGAGGGATGAACAGAAGAATGATTAACAGACTTAAAAGTGACAGGCAGACGCCAATGTAGAGAAAAAGGGTAAGGTGAGAACTGAGGAAGTGGTGAAATATGACATACAGTGTGGTGATGGTAGTTTGAAGTGGGAAGTCAAATGCCAGTTAATAGACTTTTTGCCGTATGAATCTACGTTGCCCAGGGTGTACCACGTGGAGGTAAAATGCAGAAAAGTATTTAATAAGGCTAAATTTATTTGCTTGTGTGTTCAAATTAGAGCTAATAGAAAGTATAAAAGATTAACCTGACCATTATTATTCTTCTGAAGTTATAACTATTCTTACCAAAGCTTTAAAGCTAATTTTAGCCAGAAGGATATTGTAAATGAACTTACATTAATGATGATTGAATTTAGTCATTTTAAGCTATCACAAGCTAAGGGAATTCAAAGGGGCAGAAATAGCTGCCTTGTTCTGTTAGAAAAAAATTGCAGTTTAGTTCCATCACAAAGATAGATTAGCTTTAACTAGCTTTGACGAAATTTCCGAGAATTAAGACAGTTCAGCCGACCAACGAATAAGAGAGGGTATTTGCTGTCATAGTTTTCTCGAACTGTATTTTTTTTCAAAATCGTGACAAAGTCGTCCCAACTTGTAAATCATAGTGCCTGGGACAATGATCAAAAGTGTAACGTTTCCTTTATGCTATCTGAGTTTTATGCAAAAAATAAACTTTGAGTTCATTCCTTTCCTCGCAGCAGTGTTACTAATACGACTTTGGTTTCAAGAAGTTTAAATACATTAAAGTAACTCAAAAACGCTTAATGCAGTTGGTAAAAGTTCATTTTTAGGTAATTCAAATGGTAAGAAGATTATTTTCATAATGAAATTATTAATTTTCTTAATCCCATTTATCGCTCACTTGGTTATTCTTCATATCAATGAAAACACATTTAAAAATTTTTCAAGCATAAACTCTTCTGAACACATTGATTGGTGTATGGAGTGTGTAATAGACTTACCTCCACGTGGTGCACCCTTGGCAGCGTATTCTCATACGGCAAAAGTCTATTAATCGGCAGCTGACTTCTGACTTCAAACTTCCATCACCACACTATATGTCATATTCGACCACTTTCACAGTACTCACCTCACCTTTTTTCCACCTTATCTACCTTCGTCTTTGAAACACTCTTCTGTTCCCCCCCCCCTCTTGAACTTTGGACTTTGATGTTTCTTCCCCCTGTGAAGCCTGAAGTCAACTAAAGGGCTAATGCTAGTCATCAAAACGCCCGCCATTTGATATAAATAAATAATAATTGATTGGTGTATTAGTAGAAATTTGAGTTACTGACCGATTGAATATTTTACGGTTTATAGAAATTGATGAAGCCCATTCTTACAATAAGAAATATCTTAATTTCAACACATCAGAGACCGATCAAGTTCGGGAGTTCTTGAGACTTCGAAATTTCCCGCCTTTCCTGGTTAAACAAAAGTTCATTTCACATAAAACAAATTATTGGACACTTTTAAAAACTAGACGTTTTCTTACCTTTGCTAAATATTTTTTTGCCCTTCTTACTTGATGCGTGATTGGTGCGTCATTCTTTTTTTCGCACTTATTTTTACTTGAATTGCCATAACGATTCAGCCTAACCACATGATAGCGCACCTCAGTCACAAACTTTTTATGCTATTTTCTGATTGGCTGTTATTTACAAACATTTGCGACCCAATCAGAAGCACGCGGAATTCACTCTATGTATTAGCCTTATAGGAGCGGTAATTTGAACCATTCATTTTCAAGGTACGGTCTATTGGTATGCACTGCCCTTCTCCCGATGATTATATTGAGGAAGACGATAATTTGTAAGTCGTTTTAATTTGATAATTTAATTTTATTCACTATCATTTGTCTGTATTACTGATAATTGCTATTTATATAGGATAAATTGTAATTTTGGTTGATTTAATCAGAATGCCACTTTATATCGCTAACTTCATCGTTAACTTCACCATTTGTCCTTCCCATTGTCGACTAATTTTATTTTTTGTTAGTTCCTGTGAGACTTCCACGGAAATGGAGAGGAAACGAAGAAGAGGGGTGGGTTGAGATTTGAAAACTTTCGTGCCGTGCTCAAATTTCTACCGCTTTTACTATAAATATGGATTTACTTGTAGATAATTGAGAAAAAACGTCGCGATAGGATCAACTACCTCCTCTCTGAACTTCGAAGAATAATTCCCCTCGGTGCTCAAAAACAGGTATGTTCCCCCCCCCCCCCCAACCTCCCAATTTTATGTCTTGTAAGGGTCAATAAACGATCAGTTTGCGCTGGCGACTAGTCTCATAATGTGCACGTGCCATTTTCGATTAGACTTGTCGAAATGAAATTCTACACCTTAGATCTTCGAGTGGTGATTAGAACCAGAATGATTTTTATTAATCTATCATGTCCATGGCATTTAGGGTTAATAACCACCATTTCTCAATATTAAGTTCTACTATTGGAAGGCGAATTTTGAACGCTATTAGGGCAGAGGGGGGTTCGAACAAAGCGACACAAGGTTGTACATCTTCGGTTGATAATTTAAAATTACGATAGGGTTTTAAACTGCACTTCTTCATGTACGTTAGTTCTTTTATAAATAGTAGTGCTTATTATGACGGTTTGCCTCCATTGTAAGTTATACTTATCAAGCGACGAATGAGCATTGATTTGGAGATTCTCCAGCGATGATATTTGACCTTACTTCTCTTCTCTATACTAAAATCGCTTAGGAATGATGTGCTTTTGTTGAGGAAATCATGAGAAAGTTCAAAATTAAAAATCACGATTTGGATAACCTATTACGAGGTGTAGGTACAAATCTGATGGAAGAGAAGCCATTTTGATACTTTGATTTTACTCTCGAAATCTATTCAATTCTCTCATTTTCCCACTTTTTTGGATTTGTTGTCATAGTCACTTTACTGAAATGGAAAATATTGGACATTTCTATCTCAATGTAGGTTACAATAATAACCAACATGCGAGTCATTTAGTATATCTAGCGAAGGCAGATGCGCCCGAGAGGGAGAGAGAGGGAGATCCAACTCAAACAAATGGGAAGTTGGAAGGGGGGGGGAGTGGAGGTTAGAATTTGTGTGCTCGCGAGAGAGGGTGATCAGGGGTTGGGGGGGGGGAGAGTGGACTCAACTGAAGAACGATATGGGATTTACACTACATACCAGGCACTTGGCCTAGCAACTCACTTGTGCCACATGCCCCAAAGTAAGCAGTCAATTTGTGATGGTGAATTACAACTCCCATTCCTGACGAAATTGTCCTCTAAAACTCCTATTAAGTAACTAGTAAATAATTCACGCTCTCTTATGTAATAATTCAAAGAGAATCTCAGAAAACAAAGCTCTTAAATTATTTTATTTCTTGAAGGCAATTCTTGGTGGACTTCAATGTAAACAGTGACTATTGAGGGCATTTCGAAACATTACCATATTTTCATTATTCAATTATTTCATATGGTGGGCTTTATGACACTTATCATTCACCCTTTAGCTGACTTCGGGCTTCACAGAGGGAAGGAGGAACATCAAAATGGGAAAAAGTGGAGAGGGATGACAGAAGAGTGATTTAAAGATGTTAAAGAGACAGACAGACAAAAAGGCAGAGAAAATGTAGGATAAGTATGGTGGAAGTGATCGAATAAGACATACAGTGGGATCATGGTAGTTTGAAGTCAGAAGTCAACTGCCGGTTAATAGACTTTTTGCCATATGAGAATACGTTGCCCAGGGTGCACCACGTGGAGGTAAGTCTATCGCACACCCAATATTTTCATTATTATTCACGGCAAGGTGAAGTAGGTCAAGAACAAGTTTTATGGGGTGGATCTGAGTTTCAATTAAGTGAATCAAGAGACCTATTTTGAAATCGAGTTGCACAGTGCTTTCTTCTCCACTTCAATTTCCATAATTGTAGCTTAATGATTCACCCCCCCCCCTCACCCACCCACCAACACACCTGGATTAATGAACAACTCTCTTTCCATAATATCCATGATGATGAGCATCTATTCTTATGGTAAACTGGTTAATAAGATGGAGTGGCGAGTAGCATTTCATCAAAGGAATCTTGAAGACCGATCTACCAGCTGTGAAGAGGACATAGGTTTTGATAATCACTCCTAATATTTGGTGCGAATGTGTTAGAGAGATAGTATACACGATGGTAAATTAATAGGCTACAGATTCTATGTCTTTTTCGGGTATCTTTTTCGTGGACAAAATTGTCCACCCTATCTTAATTTCATTCGCGTTTTCTCCCTACCCTTATGCCTCGTACTTTTATCTCATTTCAAACATATAGTTTTTCATCGAAAAAAAGAATATTCGCATAGAGGCAATTAAGATCGATAATTTTAATTAAGAATCTCATGTAATTATGCATAGTTAATCTTTTTTTTATTAATTAAGCTTTATTTACATATTATTTAATATATTCCATAGTTATCTTTATTGCTTTTAATGCAAATTTTAACTCCTAAGCCTGTTTAGGAAGAGCGTTTTCGTGCATTTCCTGTTGGAAAACTCGCTTACTCTGATCACTCGATTCGAATCCGTGACATTTTATGTCAAAAAAGGAGTAAGTTGATCACCACATCAACTGGTGGAATCAAAATCCTACTTCAAAACTGTACACGATTCTAGTCTTTATTATTATTAATATTGTTGTTGTCGTTATTAATAGCAGTCTAATCCTTGAAGAAAAAAAAGTATATATATAAAAGAAACACCTAAATAAATCAAATTATTGATTAAGGGGTTCAGGTAGAAGTTAGGATCAAAATTTTTAATTTGAATTCCAGAGTAAACACGTTATTCACTTTTTGTTATTTTTAGGAATAGGTCAATATTTCATCTTTATGTGTTAAAGGGTATAAGGGAATTCATTCTCGCAATGTTTAAAATAACTAGCTTAAGAATGATCATCAATTAGTCTACAATTCACCATTGGGCAATAAAAATTTTCAATTTAATTTTCCACTTAATTTTAAATCTCATTTTTTTCACTTTAATTTGTTGGCGTCTTGGAGAATTAAGCTCGTCCGGATTTAAGGTCAGTCGATCAACAATCAGTCCAGGGGTTTTCACCCCGGAAATTAGATCAAAATAGATAATCGTAGAGCTTAAAGGGTGCTTCTAGTCCTCTTATGAATAGATAATAAATTGCCTTTCTTAATAGGAGCATCTGGTTTCTCCTATTCAAACCTGCCACCTGGCTGTGTTGGACACGTATCTGCACGACTATTCAAATGAATTAGGAGGGGGAGGGGGAGGGGGGACTGGGTGGCAAGGGGTGGGAGTGGACCAAGGCGATGGCACCCCACGCATATGCTTTTCCCATAGATTGGATTACCCCTGCTTCCACTCCTCTACTCACCATTTTTGGTCTAGTTTCTTATTGTGATCTGACCAATGCGCGAGGCTAAGGCTAAAATATCTTGGAACGATCAAAATCTTGAAGTGTCTACCTCCTACATTTCTAAATGCGTTAGGAGGACTGTATTTTATCTCCATATGAGTGGACTATTTAATCCTCGAATTTCAGTTAGATTTGTCTGAGGTTTCCCTTATAGACGTTGACATATCATTGCCTCTACGAAACCGCAACACTTTAAAGCAGGCCACTCAATAATTGCTAATTTAAATTCAGTTATAATGCGACCAATAATTTCTTTCGACTTTACACTTTACGACACTTAAAGTGTCGATGCATGATTTTCGATCATCCACCCCATTTTCACCCTCTTTCTCTCTCCAGGTTGTGTTGTCATAGCACAATACAATTTTCCTATTCTCTATAGTTGCCCTGCTGATTTGAAATCAATGACACCCACAAATTAGTGCGTCTGCAATAATTCAGAATATTCTTATCTACAATGGGATATGACTTTGTTCCTCCCACCTTCACCAGTTGGCAAATTTCAGGAGGCTTACTTTTCTCGAGGGACTGTTTTCTGCTTGAAAAGCAGTCCACGAAACCTTGAGTTGACCTCAATCTTGCTGGTTGAATTAAAACTTGAATATACCAAATGGCTTCGCAAAGAACTGTTGTAAGGAGATACCAAAAGACTGCAGTGGCAAAAGAGGGATAATACAGAGTCAAATTCTCCTCAAACGGAGAGCCTTAGAGCGGAATTTACTAGAGACCAGTACCCCCCCCCCCCTCCAAGAACTTCCCTTCATTTTTTGGCTATTCCTACTTTAACAAGGAAGTAAACCGCTTTACCTCCCTGAACAAGAACCCTCGTTTCGCAAGATACGAGTCAGGCTAAATAAGAGTACATTGATACCAAAAGTGGCAAATACTTGAAGGCCACCTTATCTGAAGATACAGTATCAATATTAACAGTATAAAATCCACAATTCAACTTCAGCACTTCTACTCCATCACTACACTTGGCCGATAAGCCAATTACGGGTCATTACAAGAGACAGGCATCTTTACATTCTAAACCCGATACTGTAAGCCCCAAACCACAAGCCGAAGCAAGTGCCTTCGTATAGAGTGGACCAACGGAGAAGCCAAACTAGAGGATCACTGTGACTATTGCCTAGATCAGACTTCAAATCCAATAGACATCTGTTCTCATCCTTGTTCTCTTTCTGCTTCTCACCATCTTCATCTTTCATTCAACTTGCAGACATTTACCCCTTATATAGTTCTGAGTCTTTTGCACTTAAGATAAATGACCTCAAGAATAATCATAATCTAGCAATTAGGACATTGCAGATAGAGAGTTCTATAACTCCTTCCTCTTTTTTTAGACTTCCACAAAACTGGAAAAGGCAGAAATTTTAGAGGCGACAGTGGAATTCAATCGACGTATTCTCAGTGATGGTAAGTAATAAATAAATACAAATCACTGAATTTGTTAAGTCACTCTGGTTAATAGTAGGTAAAGATTCCCATCTCTATATCTTATAATGGCAAATAATAGTGATATAATCTTAAATTATCGAAGTTATTTCTAATTGGTCATATTTAGCTTGTTTTTATTCCTTATTTTCTATGCTCCTTAAAATCACTTTTCATTTGTAATTTTCATTAAAACGTGACAAGGATTCATATGACATATCCCCCCCCCCCCAAATACCAGGGATGACTTTATTAGGAATAATTAACATAAACCTACTTTTAGGTTTGTGTTAATTATTGTTAATGTGCCTCTCAAGGTAGCCATGAAATTGACATTGTAGCGTCCATTTAGCAGCACAATGATAATAGTATTGCCAATGACAGTACCCAACTTACTCATTTGAATAAAGGAAGAGTGAATCCAGTTCCACAAGGTGTAAAACAACCGAAGAAGTGAATAACTAGTTTGTAATTAATGGAGGGTTTCAAGAGTCAATCTTCCCTTTAATTGCATAGCGTCGAGTTACCTGCATTCTCCTTAGGGGTGAGTAACCTAATGTGTGCCACATTCACACCGTTAGACTTTAAAGGTCAATTCTGAGTTCTCGAGAAGAGGTGATGACAAATCGAAATCCCACCCTCCCCCCTCCCACCCCAACTCACCAAGACGAATTAAATTTATATTAATCGAAAATTTTAGAACCAAAATAAAAATATATTTGGTGAATAAACCAATGTAATTTAATCATTCAGAGCAGGGCGAGATATATGCTCAATCTTTCCTTTTTTGGATAACAAATGGAATCGGTTGAGAGGATGTCCATTGTGAGTGACAATTAGTAGAGAAAAGAAGCCAATTGAGCAGTACTTAGATTTTCAACTTCAAATTTCATTAAAGGATAATTTACACTCTGAACTGAATTTCAATCTCTTTTGTTTCAATTTAGCCATCGAATTCATTGATCGGTAATTTTCATTTTCGTTATTGAAGATCGACTGAAGAGCGAATGAACCCCATCACAAGTCATAGGTCTCAAAAATAAATTACACTTAAAACTCATTTTAATGAATAGTAAACGTTCTTTGGGGGGAATTGGTCTCTGCTAAAGACCACAAAGAGTCAGCCTTCATTGATTTTGGCGTTCAATTTAGGTGACTTTCTCTTGATATCGAGTATACATGATTGAAACTTAGGGAGATGGGTAATATTAAGGGTTTTCTGTGAAAATCCACCAGACAAGTCAAGATAAAATGAAGGGATATAAAGTGTATGAAATTGAGAAAGGTGGACTAAAATACAAAAGGTGCAGAAGTGAGGAATGGCAATCACTCTGTCGTGATTATAAGTGCATTAAAACCGGATAAACTCCATTGGTCCGGTCTATACTCAATTTTGGTCGTTTGATGGTAAGTACTTCTCATTGTACTACTTCCAATTCCTCAAAACAGCGTGTTTAATGACATACAGCTTAAATAAACTGAAATTCGCTGTTGTTGGTTCAAACAAAGCGCCAAATTTTTTTGTGTTCGTAGTTTTTCGTGCGAAAAGACGAACTGAAATCAATGCTTATTGATGACAAAGTCTTTTTAACACTTATGCTTAATATTATTTCTTGCTGTCATAATTTTTAAGGTACAGCTCTGAATGCGGAAATGCGTGTACTTGAGGACCGTATGGCCGGCTTTCGCGAATGCTTTACAGAATTAACCCGGTATCTTAGTGCCAAGCCGGTGATGAGTTCAGAGGATGACGATTTACGCAGAAAACTTCTCACCCATCTTCATCAACGCATCCTCAAGATGCATTACGATGCCCAGGAACGTCTGGCCTCAATCTCATTAGTTTCGTCCAGATTGAACACCGATGGAAATGCTGTTCCTCACCAACCATCAACCTCTCATCAAAGTTACTGGAATAGTCAACCCATTAAGAAAGAGGAATATCAATGGAAGCAGTCAGACTACTCCCCACAAAACTCATTTCAACACCATCACCATCACCAACAACAACAACCGACTCCAGAAATCAATGAAAGTCAGTCAACTACATCCCCACCGTCTATGCTTGAAACGCTCGAAGAAAATGATAGTGTTGGGAGAGCTGCCTCAACTCACATGTTTCAACCAATATCGAACTCAAATATTAATTTTCAAAGTTATACTTACGATCCGAGCCTTAATTCTACAGGAGGATATGAAAGTTTTGCTTATGGTTATCAGCAGAATTACCCAGAAACAGCTAGATTTACACCATATTCAAGTGACCATCAATTTGAATATTGAACTATTTTACTGCGATGCATATTTTTACTCAAATATAATATTATTAGTAAATGTGAAGATATGTTAATTTTATCCTGCTATTTGTACTTAGGATAAAAACAGTATTAATGAGTGAAAGCAAATAAAGCGGTTGCATTTTAGTTATAAACCATATTTCAAGAGTATAAGAGAGACCAATTTTTAATGTACTACAACAATACTCAAATTTGTTGATGCCTGTTGGCAACCGGGTGTTTAATTCGTCTCCCCTATATCCTAAGAAATAAAATTTTCATTCAGATATCTAAGTGAGCATTATTTTGTTAACAGCGAATAATACATTTAAGGCCCTTCTTTTGATATCATACAAAACTAATAAAAAATATTGGTGATTTATTTGATGTCAAATTCATTTATGGTGCCTACAACTGCGGGAATATATTTATATATGGCTTTATGTCCTCTATTTCCATATAAACGATTGTCTTCTGCTCCTCCAACCCCCCCCCCCCACTCTCCACCCAAATTGGAGTTAGTTAACCTAATTTCTCTATCTGCTTTGGGGTGACCTTAGCAGATGCGACTGTGTAAAGTTCTACCTGGTTGACCCAAAATAGCAAAACGTTTATTTGTGTTTTGTGTTTTTTGGGACTCAGTACTATGGATTTTAGAATAAATAATATTAGAGATGAAGGTGAGATTCATAAAGCGAGTACAAGGCATCACGTAAACCAAGTGAAAGTTCTGAACCAATAAAAATTTGAGCTTGGATATAGTAAATGGGAATGTGGCTGGGGTAATCATGACACTTTCCAATTTAATTAGGCATGGATCTAACTCTTATAACTCCAAAACGCTCTAAATTACAAACTTACTTGCTGAAGCGAGCCAGGTAAATATTAAATATCTTGCTTGCAGTTACTAAAATTAATCAAACTGGCATGCCTCATAGTTATTTTCAAAACGGAAAATTCGAAAGATAATATATTATAGTAACTATTTTGTATCATGATTCAAACATAACTAATTTACGGGATAAAAAGTCAGTTGATAGATCATTTAAAGGGTTTGGAAAGACAGATTTACTAACCTATTCTAATCCTAATCCCCTTTTCAAAACTCGAAAGCGCTCTCTACTTTTTGGCATTTGTTGATGTGAGATTATGTGAGGAATAGAATTATTACTCGATTTCACCTTTCAAATTTCATCTTCCTTCTTACTGAATACCACCCCCCCCCCCCAGAACGTAACTTTATGAGACAACTTTCCATTTTTATGGATATATACCTGGAATAATAAAGCATTGTCTGAAACCTATCTATCTATTATGACGTGTTTATATATTTCTTCATTGATTTCGTTATTTTGCATAGAAGTTCTCAAGAGGAATCTTTCAGCTAGTATCAGAGCAACTGCAATTTAATGCAAGTTTCACCCCTATCATACTTCGAAAAGCTGTTAAAACGTTAGCAACCATCTAAAGAAAGACAACTTTAGGGAAATAGCATTAACGGACTGGTTCAATAAACGTTTATAAAGTTAATGGCATCTTAGTAAGAGGACAAAAAGAAAATAAATCATCCCATAAATTATTGCGACTATTCATTCGGGAAGATGGTAGGTTAATTTAGTATAATATAAGATCTGATAATAATTAAAAATAAATAATCAAAGAAAATAGGATAAAAATTAAATCCGATTAAAATCTTATTTGAACAAAATTTATCAGTATAAATAAATACCACTATCAGCAACAAATCTGAAGTAGAATAAATGAAATTTTAGATATTGAATAGGTAGTAATACAAACGTGGTTTTGTTTCTGCATAATTGATTAAATAGAATACTTAAAATAATTCTATCCTTCATTTCTAGGAATAATATAAGTATCGCAATAGTTATTAGCCCTACAAATTTCATAATGGCCTTTCAGCTTGTATCGTAAAATCGCAATGCTCGGCAATGCTTTGACGAAAAAAATCACTGTCTTAGATATTTGACTTATTATAGTTGTTAATGACCAATGACTTCGTTTAGATACCACGCAACTTTGCAAGTCGATACTGCTTAAAACTAAGAAATAATTTTGTCTTATTTGGTGGTGAGTTTCGAATATTCTAGAAGCTCCAATGGATGCATATTCATACTCCTTATAATAATTGTTGAAATAGATGAATAAAAGAATTATAACGTATGCAAGATAATTTAAATAATTTATAAACCATAGTATGTATGTCTTCGTTAATCTTTAATGGAAAAGTAAAATGTTTTGCTGTGCATGGATATTGTTATACTTATCAGTTAAAAGCTACACTATTTCAACCTTGAGATTGATCTATATAGCAAGATATTAGGTCGTCCGCTTTGATTTATTTATTTCGATTTTTCCATAAAATGGGTAAGCAATTGAATTATTGTGCCAAATTCGTATTTAAAATATTCGAGCTTACAATATAGATATATAATTATAAACCATTTTTACATGAGTTCTTTAAATGCTACTTAAATTTCAGGACATCTAATTCGTATGTAAATGTTTGGTCATTTGGTATTCAGATGAAAATTTATAGTTTCTCATTGTGCGAGATTGAACATAAATTAATGTGAGACTATGAGTACTTTCTGGAGAAATTTATTTTTTTGTCAGTGTTTCATTTATTTTATTTCCAAAACACTTATAGTAACACTTGTAACTTTTCTTCAATTGAATGTTTATGTATTTTTCACTTTCTCCTGTAAATAATGTTTCAAGAATTGATTTATATTGATCGCAATATTTGCTAGATTTCGCAGATGTTAAGTGTACTTGTGGCCAGTCTTTCAAAGAGCAGGCTCCGTGGTCAAACGCTAATTGCTTTGTCGTAGTGACTGGAGCAAGTCGGGGTTTCGGCAGGGCGTTTTGTATTCAACTTCTCAAGGAGGTGGCCGAACCTCACTCCAGTCACTGTCCACCTGCAAATTCCCTCACCTTTTTTCTTTTTGGACGCGATATGGAAGCCCTCTGTGAAACTGAAAGCGAGGTTCGTGACTGTTAACTTTTCTTTCACGTCCACTAATATATTTATTAGACACAACGGCAATTCGTGTTGAGCAATAGGTTACTATCTTTGAGTCTGATGCTAATCTTCTTTTCACAAGCTTTAGCTATTAGCTTAGCTTTCACCAACGTTACGTTTTTGAGTTAAGTTTTTGATAGCTATGTCAGTGGTACACTGTTTCTTGGATATTTGATTTTAAAGCAATAAATGACCTCGGGATTTAGTTTAACGCATAACATTCAAGTGTTTTTGAATTGATCATGCTTGCATTGTATTCATCTCTAATGCCTAAAATATTTTGATAGGTCTGTTATTGCGATCTAGTTAACGTATTGACAAAGTATATCCGATTAGATCTCGCTGGAACTGCAAATTGATATTTGATCCCTATGCGCTATGCATGCTGAGATGTGTTAAAATCTAATAATTATGTTTATGTTTTCGATCTCCTAACTAATAAGTTCGAGGCTTTTAACTCTTTTGCAAACCATGTGGATAGAAAATCTAAGTACACGTTGCGTTAGTTAATGTGTGAGGTTTAGGTTCAGAGTATGAATAATGGGTTTAATACAGATGGTATAATTTACAACTCCCAAATCCTTTTAGTAGGACGTTTTTAACACTCGTCTTGAACAGAAGGGTAGAATCCTGGAGTCTTTCTGATGAGAACCTCTAATTCTGTGGCTCCTTTTATCAACCAGCCGTAACCCGTGTGTTTGGCAATTTCGCTTACTGAGTGGACACTGATGGCCGGCGAGCCTGTAGCATCTAACTTTGCGGACGAACGATCTAGCCATTTCGCCACTGGTACAGTGTGGAACTATGAAGTTATTCTTTAATCTTTTCTCATTTGTAAACTTAAAATCGATCATGCTTTGGATTTCATAAAAGACATTCCGTCTGTGCTTTAAACAGAGCATCTTATTGAAAATTTTCTTAAGCTTGTCTTTGACCTTTTAAACTTTATAAATCACATGTAAATTGGTTAGAGTAGCCTTCAATAATGCTTTCCAGACGCCTAGATATAAAATAACATGGTAAGTTATTGTCGCGCTATGGAACTCGTAAGCCAATTGTCTTGAAGTACAAAAAATTGCGACAAGTCGTTAGAGTTGAATGCGATCATTATCGAAACCGAGTCACCCGTAACAGCATTCATGAAGTCCCAGCGGTTTAATTTCTATATCTGCCCTAATTCATTTCATATTTCATTTATAAGCATTATTATAATTAATTAAATAATTTCTTTTCGGCTTTTCTTCGCGATTATTCTCTTTTTCGTCATTCCTAGACGACCTAGTCTAATTCTTCGTTCGTTTGCTCGCCAGCGTAGTTCGTATGTGTTTATAAACTTGCAAATTTCCTTTGTTTACAAGTTTGTTCACTTTAAGGTCATTTGCTTTATTTGCTGAAGGACATGCAAGTGTAAACTACATTTAGTAATTTCTGACCTCAATATCAATAATCATATACCTAGAATATGCCAAGGACAACTTTCTATTCCCTCCAACACTACCGCAGAATTAGTGGGCGTTAGGAAATAAAAAGCGTCAATTCGGAGTCTAGTCACCCATAATTACATAAACCTTTCACAACGTAGAGATATTGTGGCGATTTGGAAGACCAAATGTAGGCTCTTATCTACCAATTGATTAATAATAAAGCCGGTATTTTTCGCTTGAATTTCTCATACCCATTAAATGAAGTGTTAACATGCGAAATTTGCGTTTACTAGAAATAAACTGTACGATTGATCATGCCATCACTGGAGGTGCACCAATGGGCTTCGATCGCTTGACCTCGGATTTGGGAGAAGTACAAGTTAGTCTCCGCTCCTCCTTTCCCTCTCTTTAAGTATAATTGAGCAGTTTCTTAAGCTACTTAGTACTGCATTGCAGAACCTCGCCTTAAGCTTTATTTCGTGTTTACAAGTTTTTTGCTATTTTTTCTACCATATATCCATATCGATTACTTTTGTTTCTTTCTCAGTTCAACGCATTTGTTATTTGTGCTTTGGTGATTTAGATAATCGCTTCAATACCTGAGGACGGTTCGACCAGTGTCACTGTCTACTTCGCAGGAGGAGAAAACCTTGACATGGAGTCCATTGATCCCGCAACCCTCACCAAAGCCTTGCAGCCCATTTACGATGCAATGGCGAAGTGTGTAGGCAGCGGTCGGCCTCAATGGAATCTCCTAGTCAATAATGTGGGCACTCTGGGCAATATCAAAGACCGTGCCGATCAGCACCTCTCTACATCTGATCTCGAATCTTATTTTCGCGTAAATCTTTTCTCTCAAATCATTCTCACCAACGTCTTTCTCAACCAAGTCGCTCCTATGAAAACTGATGAAGATCCACTCTTTCATCCTCCTACTACAGTTCTTACAATCTCTAGCCTTGCTGCAATCAAACCCTACTCACACATGCTCACCTATTGCTGCGGAAAAGCTGCCAGAGATATGCATCTTAGGTGTTTAGCTGTTGATAGACCCTCAATCTCCTGTTTTGTTTACTCTCCTGGGCCACTTTTAACGGCAATGTATGACCAGTTAGAGAAAGAACAGGGAGATATGAAAAGTCGGGCTTTGTTTAAAGAGCGTCGTGAGCAGGGTCTTGTAATTCAACCCATGGAATCGGCTCGGATGTGTGTCCGGTGGCTAAGGCGTCAAAGATTTTTCCCTCAAACTGGAGAGATCAAATTCCCGGCCCGAGTATGTCTAATCCATCAGTCCAAATACAAAGACCTTTGGAAGGGGCAACATCTAGACTACTTTGAAGCGAGAGACTTAGAAGAGGCTGAATTTAATAGGATTGGAGTGTAGAGGGACTATAATGCTCAGGGTTTATTTTGCGGTTTTTCCTCTTATCTGCTTACACAATCGAATTGTCCTCTTTTTCCTCTGTGTCTTTATGAACTGTATTGTGTGTATGTACTATTTTATGCTTGAGAGATTTGAAATGCTTTATTTAATCAGCATAATTTCCTAATACCCCAAGGAGTCCTGAATCTTTTTTTATCTACATTGTCAACTGTCTGGGACTTATGTTATGAGAGGGGTGTTACTAGTGTGAGTTGAGTCAATGCTTGCTACCCTGTTCAATAGTTTTCACTGAAAGTTAGAATAAAGGTTGGCTTTTAGTGAAGAATCATTTATTATGGAGGAAAGGAAGGAGGCTTGGATGAGGGGTTGGAGTAAAGGAAAGAAAAGTTGCCCAATGTTTAATTCACTTTGACAAAATACAGTCAATTAGAGTCGGTATAATTTGTTCAGAACGTATTCATGGTGCAAAAAACAGTACATCAAACGCTCATTAACTAAAACAAGGACTCAAAAATCGAACAGGATTCAATCATGAAATTAGATTGTCTGTTCTAAGCTGTTCCACTGTCGAAGAGATCGGGTTAATAAAAGTAGGTGAACGATGGAACTCCCAAAACATCTAAGGGGGGGGATGTCATTCAACACTCATTTTGGACAGGTGGGGTGGGAGGGGGGGGGCGGGGTTGGTGGAGGAAGCAGCATAGTGCCTTGCCTACGATATAGTCGATTTCTGCAAACTTTATTAACCAACTTGACCAAAAGGCTAAGTATGCAACATACTGGGTGTGCACTGATTGGCATTGAATCTGAGATCCCTGAAAACATAGATGAATGAATTTTCCAGTAGCTCGAAAATAGATTTGCAAATTTTATCGCCCAGATGAGTTTCTTTTAAATTTATCAGCTTTTATTAACTCTTCTGAAAATTTAAGCACTTAAAATAATTCTAAAATAAAAGTGGACAACAATGAAATTTAATGAAAGAAGTGCACAACTGCCCAGTTTATATACTTGAGTTTCGGATTTTGTTAATCAAATTTAACTACGTAATTAATTTCTATATAAAGGTAGATTGAATTCTTGCGTAATGGTTCAACGCTTCATTAACACCCGAAACTAACTGATTATATCATCAATCAAATACTAACTGCCCACCCCCAATTCCTCATTCCCAACTCAACCATTACGGATAATCGAATGTCAATCAGTGAGGAAAGCATCCCCTCTTAGGGTATATTTAATCTCTCCCAAAAATGTTGCCTTCGAGTATGTATTTTAGACGTACAACTCCTCCCAACCCCCCCCCCCCTCCCACAATTCTCTTATTTTATTTCTCTGCTGTAAGTGGATAAATATCCGTCTATCTCCACCCCTGTCTCTCGAAATTGCGAAAGTTTACTTCTTCTTTTTAGTCATTTAAAAAAGCTTTCACGATCAAGGGGGTGTGCGATAGACTTACCTCCACTGGGTGTACCCTGGGCATCGTATACTCATACGTCAAAAAAGTCTATAAACCGGCAGTTGACTTCTGATATCAAACTATCATCACCCCACTGTATGTCATATTCGACTATTTCCACAGTTCTCACCTCACCTTTTTCTACCTTCATCTTTGAGACACTCTTCTGTTCCCCTTCCCTCCCAACTTTTTTTCACTTTGATGTTCCTTCCCCTCTGTGAAGCCTGAAGTCAACTAAATGGCTAATGATAGCCATCAAAACGCCTGCCATCTGATATAAATAAATTTAGAATTAGTACTGGCTTAAACTCCTACAGTCCCTATCCCGTTGTCTAAATCGGGCAATAAAATCTAGATTTTTTTACTCTCAAGGAAACTTATTTGCGATTTTTGCTCAAAACCTTCCAAATTGGATCTTTTCAAAACGTATCCACTTATAGATCTCTAGAAAATAGAATAGCATTAAATTGAATCATCTTATTGTGGAAGACTTAGGATATCGTGTACCTGAAGTCATCGTCAGTTGTTATATTCCAAAAGCGGTGGTCTATTCCATAGTTTCCTCTTCTCTGCGAGACTTGTACCGAATTTCAGTGTTCCTTCTTAAATACATTTGAAATGAAGTTTTACTCCTTGATATAGTGTGATCTCCATTTCTTTGTATTTCAGTCTTGGTAAATCAGCTTCAATAAAACTTATCTTCTATTAACAAATAATTGAACATAGTTAAACACTATAGGGCTTATTTATTCGCGGTGAAACAAATGGAATTTCCAATGCAAAGAACTGAATTACTATTTCACAGTAAAGGAGTGAAGGCTTCTAGAAAATCAGACAGGAAATTCATCGCATACAATGGCTCTGTGAGTGTATCATTTTAAGTTTGAGTTTCTAGCTTTAACTTAAATGTATTGCCTTCAGTCAGCTTATATTTCACGCATTGACATTGAAAGTTTTTTATTTCAAATGTCAGGCTTTATGATATTTATCATTAGCCCTTAAACTTTGACTTCAGCTTCCCCCATGGGTGGGGGCACATATACAGCAGTTAACTAACAGCAGTTCATTAGCTGTCTTCTTGCTTCCCAGTATCTCTGGCTTTCCGTCATTGTCTTTAGAGCTGGACACCGAATCAGATGGGTCTTCTCCATTTCCTCCTGTAGGTCAAATAGGGAGCATGTCGGTTGAGTGTATACTCCTAATCTGTGAAGGTGTTTTGTCAGGCAATCGTGTCCGGTGCGTAGTCTAAACTCAGCAACGGCTTCGATTCTTGGCCAGTCGGCTATGTTGGAGAGTGCCACTGTCCACTGTTTCTCCTTTGTTCGAGCTTTAAGCTCGTTGCACCTTGAGGTCTTGAATTCTCTCCTGATTAAGGTCTTCATTGTGTGGAAAGACATCGGCCTGTCTATGCCTTGCAAAATTTTTGTCCCCTTCTTAGCAAGTGCGCCAGCAAGCTCACTTGAAAAGGTCTAAATGGAAAATTGATTACATAAAGTTCTCCGTCTACTTAGGCGCTATCATCAGGTACAGGTGCAGGCATTTTGAACTTGACTATGGTCTCACTAGTGTGATAGAACACAGCTTCGACTAAAGTCTTACCAATATCAATTGGCCTATCTGTTTCAAGTATAATCCTCGACTATTGGTCGGTGAATAAACTATGGAATTTATTTGGCACACCGGAGAGCACATGTTTGTTTATTTTGACATACCTCCTCATTGAAGACCAAGAGAGCAAAAATGGGTTTAGTCACATAAAAAGCGCTCCTAAATCAATTGAAAGAAGATGCGCACATTTTTTTCTAACAGAAGTGATATTTATTATTATGACTGCTACTAAATAAAAGTGAATAACTTTTTCCAATTCTCTTCTGCTAGCATTACTTCAACGATTTATTACCCCACAAAGAATTTTGAGTACACGATTTTACCTACCTTAGCTAAATCATTTACTAATTATTTACATATTGAATGAGAAAAGTGTTTTGAAGTACCAACTAAGGATACTTCGAATCAAACCCGAAAAAAATGAGGAGAAAAGTCTTTAATATTATTAAGTTATGAGTACAATGAGGTTTAGGTCTTTCGAATCTCTAATTTCATTATCCTCTTCTGTGTGGCTACTCTCCTTCGCCTATTTTGACGAATCCCATTGTATTAATTTTTTGACTGGCTTTTTAAGACCCAATAATTACTAATGTTGTTGTTGTTGTTGTTGAAGTGCAAACAGATCGCTTTGTCACTGTCAAATGAGATTGGTCAAAATTGATCCTGAAATAGCCACAAGTAATCAATACTAGTTGAGGTAATTTATTGTGAATATTAGAATTCGATCACATCATCAATAGAATTCCCAGTGCATTTATTCCACTATAAATCATTCATGACGAATTAATAAAGCATTTTCCAATCGCCAGAAAAATAATTTTTATAAGGGTATTCCTCTTCTGCAAGAATACTTAAAAATTCTAGAAATAAGAAAAGAATCAATGAATAGACTAATTATCTCAACGAGTAAAAGCCAAAAATATTAAACATTGCGATGCTATTATGCAATAAGTTTAAATAATGCACCAACATTTCCACCTAAATTCATTGAATGTGAAAAGTCTACTATCTATTGGTGTCTTATTAATAAAGATGATAATTGTTAATAATTCATAAATTATTTTTTTTAAAATAATTTAAATGAATTTTAATTGCAAGGCAAAAGGTAAATAGAGAAATGAGGGTTTATGGAGTGAGTGTGAATCAAATAAGGTTAGTGAAAAAATGTCAAAACGTCACAAGTGTCCTATCTACGTTTTGAATTCATCAAGAAATGCTCTGCGTGCCAAATAATAATCCTCTATGGACGAGATCTCCAGATTTGACCTCTAGATCACTGAAATAGTTCATTTTCTCAGCGTTCGGAGATTGTCGAGGAGTTGATTGGGCCCCATGGACGATCACATCATCATATGGTTAATGATTCTCCCTTAGCTACTCTGCCTGTTATGAACTTTAATTAAATTCCTATTTTTATTGCCTTCTATCGTGTCCAAATACAATTTATTCTATGATGGAGACTGCGACATCGCCATTACTCGGTCGGAAGTCAATTATGACTCCAATAAACTAAATACGGAAACGTGGAGGTATGAACTTTCGAGGAAAGCTGAAAGCGTCAACTAGCACACTAACTTCATTGATCTATTGTTTCCAAGCAGAATTACTTATTGATCTTACAGGTATAAAAAGTAAAAAATTGGCATGTGCAAAGATTTTGGCTTCACTTTCACAAAATTCAACATTCCTCCCTTAAGTTAGCGAAAATGTTTGTTAAAAAACACAGCAATATTGGTATTATCGATGGCAAAGGATAAATTGCTACAATATAATTGAGAAACCACGTTTTTACCCTTGATCTTATTTTTCAAATAGCCAGAGGAAAAGACACCCTATTAAATTGAACTTTCTCGAATTGAGGATATTAAGGTTAATCATAATTATGAGGTGATAGAAACGCACCAAGGATGTGATATAGGTACGGAGAGGGGAT